TACCTTGTGTACCCGTCGGTAGGGCGGGATCTGCTCTCTCGGTAACTTCCGAAGAGTTCAAGTGGTGAATCTTGAGTTCTTGGCGAGACGTGGGGATGGGGTGGAGCAGCAGTGGAAAATCTTCACTCTGCGTCCGCGGGTTGTTCCGAATCCTAAGCGAATATTCGAGCTTATGGATCCGGGGCCTAGATCGTGGATCTGGCCGTAGGGTTGCCTTGCGGGTGTGTTCCCTTGCCTTTGTAGCTCCTTTGCGTCGTACTTGCCTCCTCCTGTGACGGGATCTTGAGAGTTGAGAACCTCTAGGGTGTAACCGACCAAGTAGTAAATTCGGTTAGCCTGTCGGATCTGCACAAGTAAAGGAAAAGCTCACTAGGTTGTAGGATCTGGACAATGTATTATTTAGTTATCCTAAATTCGCAATTCCAAACCTTCTCCGAGCTCGTACGTCCAATGTAGTTCCGGTTCTTGAGGGCAGGAAGGCACTTGCGTGTCACTGTGCAAATTGGAGTCTGTATTGATATTTAAGCCTATACCTGCCTGGATTTCTACCTTCTATGTCTTTCATCTGCTAAATCCCTTACCAGGCTCGGCTGCATGTCCCTTCTTCCCTTGACCCATCATCCCAGCTGTATTATCTTCAGATCCACCGGATCGATGACGTAATCATCATGGTCACCCTATTATGGGTACACTCATCCGGATCCCGGTCGCTTGGATCCACTTCACTGTAAGTTTGCACTCGTCGTCGATCTGAGCTCTCCCATCATCCAACATCATCTCGCAACCGTCTGTGATCTCCATTGTCCCCCGAAAGTTCGAGATCCACTGTATCCATCATCCCTATACCCTGGATCCAGGTCCCTCCAGGCGGGATCCTCCCTCCTTGGATCCGAACTCGGAAGTATGGGATCCGGGGTACCTCGCGGTGGATCTTGACTCTTCATTAGCCGTGGCTACTAGATCCACCTTCAGAGGGCACCGACCATCCTTCCTTCATAGGATCCACACTCGATCCACTCTTGTATAGTATATCCCATATCCATCTTAGTGAATCCAGGTAAGGGTGGATCCGAGGTAAGTCTTGGTGGATCTTGCCTTCTCGTACGTCGCTCATATCAGATCCATCGTCATTCCATACGGGGTGCTGCTCGCCATGGCTAATCCACCACAGGCAACTTGCATCCGTGCCAGCCAACCCAAATCCTCTCTAATCACTTGAAATTGTCACTGATTCGGGATAGTGACCCCGCGTCAGGCCCATTCTCTTATTTCTGAAAAAGCACTTCACCACACGACGCTCTCCTCCTTCTTCACTTTCCGCAGGAGACGTTAGTGACCATACAGGTGATTGCGTAGCCGTAGGCGATAGGGCAGCACCATCCGTAAGGTCAATCGCATTCGCATCGCATAGTGATAGGCCAGCAAACAGTCCTTGGCCATCTTCTTCCAACGCTACCGCATCCACACGACGTACGGAGTTCACCAGCGACACGGGATCCTGGGTTGTCTTTCTTGCAGCTTTCTCGCGAGCTCTGGCTTCAGTTGCTGGCCAATGAGAGCCGTACACTCGGCATACCAATGTCCTTCTCCTTGACAGTTCGCGCAGTTTGTGCGCTGCTTCTTATCTGCAACGCCCTTATATCGCTTGCGCTGTTGCTTGTTGCGCTTGAGTCCTCGAGCTTGACCTTGTCCTTGGTCCGTTCCGACGTGAGCAACTTGCATTGAATTCGCAACCGGTTGTCTGGTCTGTGCACGCAGCTGGTCACGCTGGTGTTCAGCAGCGCGCAGTCGTTGTAGAGCTTCAGCAAGTGTAAGTGTCTTACGATCATGGTTGTTAAGCCAATCGCCATGCTCACGGGTGAGATCTTTAAATGCTTCCACGCTGTTCGACAGTAGTAGGCTTGCATGTTGCCTCTCAGCGAACTCACCATTAGCTTGTGTAGAAGTGTCACCTTCTTCGCAATGTCGTCAACATACTGTGATACCGACTCGTTTGGCTTGAGCCGGCGCGTCACTAGCTCTTGCAGTAGGTAATCAGGATTAATACCATCTCCAGCCTCAAAGTGCTGCGTAATCGCATCGTAGGGCATAGCGGCGGTACGTGTTGACTAAATGGCCGATGACTCCAATCAACACCCACGCGTCTTTCGTGCTCTGAATGCCCACGGCGCCGCCAATCCAGCTGCCGACCAGCGCCTTCACTTGCGCCAAGTGCGACGGCAGCTCTCGATCAATAATCCGAGGCCCATGCAGCAGATTCTGGTCCAGAATGGCTCCTCCAGCGACGTATTGCAGCTGATCGGGCAGATCTTCCACAAACACCTGCTGGTACGTCTTGAACGGGTACGACGCCCCCAATGTCCCTTCAAAGTACGACATAGTCGAAGCCAACTTGGACGTGCAATGCACGAGGTCTTCGAAGCATTCGGGCAGCGCAAAGTGCGTCATCCGGGGCATTTCCGGCGGGACAAAGAGTCGGAAAGGTCCCACAGCGAAGCCAACGGACGAGCAGTTGGTCTGTGGGTTCACGACGTATCGGAACGTCCTCCACTGTCCTCCGTCGGCGTCTGTCTCAGGGTTGAGAAGCTGTTGCACCATCTGTCCACTACAAACTGCCACACACCAGTCGGGCACCGTAAGCTCGATCCTAAAGGTACAGGCGTCTCGCAGTGTGTCTCGACAAGGCATCCACGACCGTGCACCGTCACAGAGACCACCAAATGGCCCACAATAAGTGTACATGTGTGGACTTCGCTTGGGTTGGTACTGCTCGTCCGGCAGGACGAACCGCAGGCCGCCGGTGGGCTCGTCGAGCTCGTATTCGACCCGAACTAATACAGGCTTGAAGCCTGTGGAGCTCTTGGGCAGGCGATCGACGTCCCAGGCATCGAGTACCAGCTTTTGTTCTTTATGAGTACCAACTTCTGTCTCTTCGTCGTCGTCGTCG